GCCAACATCAAGTTCTGGCCAAGCTGCTGAGAGGGAAAGGACTGGGAGAAGGCTGGAAGAGACCGGGGCTGCCTTGTTCCAACAGCAGAAATAAAATCTGGAAGTCCCAAAGAGGGGAAAAAAAAAAAGCCAGCACCCTGTCCCTGAGCTGTCAGCGCAGTTTTCCGCGGGAAGATGAAATCTTGCCTCCCCCCAGCCTATTCCACGCCCCCCACCGCTACACCACCAAAGGCTGCGATTTTCCAACTCGAATTTTAAGTTCCCAGGCGGCCTCGTTTGCAAAGAGACGGGCGATGCTGCTTGTGACCCCGCTGGATTTGGCAATCCCCATCCTACGTCCGATCCCGTGCCCAGCAACGCGCCGGGTAGACGAGCGATGCTCTTAGGGCCGCAGCTGCGCTTCACCGTGAGAAATCAAAAGCCCCGTACACAAACCCACCCTTGGTGGGATCACCGAGAGGGGAAAATCTGCGGCTCAAGGGCGATCCCGCATGGCTGAGTTACGCCTCAGGGATGTAGGAGGGGAAGACAGGCCTTGCTAAGCCCGGTTTGCTAAGGCGGCCCATTAGGCATCGCTACCTGTGGATCTCGACGTTGAAAAAGATGCAAGGGACAGAGCAGGACAGAGTTCAGCGCCGGGGCTCCACATCACCCCAAAAAGCACAATGTTTTGTACGATTCGCCCGTCCTTCCCCCGGAGAGTGGCGCTCCCGCAGGCTGCCATCAAGGGAGAAGGACAGAATTTAAGAACTGAGTAGGGAAAATCACATCAGACAGTGGTTTGGTGAGAAAGCCGACTGTATTTCCGCTCTTACTGTGGTGCCACATACACATTATAGCGTGGTTTAGTACAAGGAGACACTGGGATACGCACAAATGAACCCCACTGTGAAGGACATCATCCCACCGCAGGACCAAGCCTTACACCAAGCGTGCAAAGGAAGCAGAAACGATGTAAAAATATATTATATATTTACATACACAATCTTTTAAAAAGCTGAGATGCGAGTATAAATTCCAGAGCTAAAACATGTCAGGGAGAGAACGGGGGTTAGATTCGGTGAGCTGGTTTGTAGGCAAGTTTTACAGTCACAAAAATAAACTTTAAAAATCTCCGGGGTAAGCCAACAAGACTTTTGGACGCGCGCCCGAGGAAGGAGCCCCTGATGGGCCGCTACGAGGTGCCGGTGGCGTGCAGGCAGGAGGGCTCTGTCATTTTTAGTGACGGTTGGGGACAACCTTTTGCCCTGAGGCAGCAGCAAAGCTCCACCAGCCTGAGCAGCGTCGGGATCGCTGCGCCCCGAGCACACCACAACCCGGTTCTCGGAGCTGGGGCTTGCGCCGGCACAGCCAACGCGTGGGCAGGGTTGTGTTGGGGAGATGTAAGGGGAGGGATGGCTCGTTGAAACGACCGACGCTTGCAGACTCCAGAGGGGGTGCCAAAGGGGGCACCAAAGGGGGTGGCTTTGGGCAGAAGGGCGAGGTGAGCTGCTCCGTTCCCTGCCAGGCACACCGGCAGCCTGACCTCAGCAGCAAGGGAGATTTTAGTATTTAAAAGCCTGAGTATTAATCTCATAAGCAAGCACATATCATATTTGCAGCCTTTGTCAGGTTTTAGTGACTCCAGCAGATCCCCTGGCCATACTCTTGGTTTAGAAGCTGACCCAAAGATGTTCCTCAGTCTGGTTAAGTCGCTCGAGGATCTTCCCACCCGCAAAACAGGAGAACGCTACCCATGAGTGGTGTCAAACACTCTCCAAATGCCCTCGACAGCTCAGATGAATTACC